ATCTATAAAAACAACGTCTTCACAGGCAACATGATGACAATTAATTCATATCTTTCAATAATCACTCTAAACGTGAATGGCCTAAATGCTCCCATAAAATGGCACAGGGTTGCAGACTGGATAAAAAGACAGGACCCAGCCATATGCTGCCTACCAGAGACTCATTTTGAACCTAAAGATACATCCAGATTGAAAGTAAAGGTATGGAGATCCATCTTCCATGCCAGCGGACCTCAGAAGAAAGCTGGGGTAGCAATTGTTCTATCAGACAAATTAGATTTTAAACTAAAGTCTGTAGTTAGAGACACAGAAGGACACAATATCATTCTTAAAGGGTCTATCCAACAAGAAGATCTAACAATTGTAAATATCTATGCCCCCAACACGGGAGCAGCCATCTACATAAGCCAACTCTTAACCAAAATAGTCATATTGATAACAATATGTTAATTGTAGGAGACCTCAATACTCCACTCTCAGCAATGGACACATCATCTAAGCAGCAAATCAACAAAGAAACAGCTTCGAATGATACACTGGACCAGATGGACCTCATAGATATATACAGAACATTCCACCCTAAAACACCAGAATACTCATTCTTCTCGAGCGCACATGGAACTTTCTCCAGAATAGACCACATACTGGGTCACAAATCAGGTCTCAACCGATACCAAAAGATTGAGATTATTCCCTGCATATTCTCAGACCACAATGCTTTAAACTGGAACTCAATCACAAGAAAAAATTTGGCAGAAATTCAAACACTTGGAAGCTAAAGACCACTCTGCTCAAGAATGTTTGGGTCAACCAGGAAATCAAAGAAGAACTTAAACAATCCATGAAAATCGATGAGAACAAAAACACATCGGTCCAAAACCTATGGGATACTGCAAAGGCAGTGACTCTAAGGGGAAATACTGAACCATCCGAGCCTCACTCAAAAAAATAGAAAAATCCCGAATTCACCAACTAACTCTACACCTTAAAGAACTAGAGAAAAAGCAACAAACGATGCCTAAGCCATGCATTAGAAGAGAAATAATTAAAATTAGAGCAGAAATCAAAGAATTAGAAACCAGAAATACAGTAGATCCGATCAACAAAACTAGAAGTTGGTTCTTTGAGAGAATTAATAAGATTGATAAACCACTGGCCAGACTTATCCAAAAAGAAAAGAGAAAGGACCCAAATTAATAAAATTATGAATGAAAGGGGAGAGATCACGACTAACCCCAAGGAAATAGAACCAATTATTAGAAATTATTATCAACAACTATATGCCAATAAACTGAGCCATCTGGATGAAATGAAGGCCTTCCTGGAAACTATAAGCTGCCAAGACTGAAACAGGAAGAAATTGACAACCTGAATAGGCCAATAACCAGTAACGAGATTGAAGCAGTGATCAAAAACCTCCCAAAAAACAAGAGTCCAGGGCCTGATGGATTCCCTGGGGAATTCTTCCAAGCATTCAAAGAAGAAATAATACCTATTCTCCTGAAGCTGTTTCAAAAAATAGAAACAGAAGGGAAACTTCCAAACTCATTCTATGAGGCCAGAATTACCTTAATCCCCAAACCAGGCAAAGACCCCATCAAAAAGGAGAATTTCAGACCGATATCCCTGGTGAATATGGATTCCAAAATCCTCACAAAATCCTAGCTAATAGGATCCAACAATACATTAAAAGGATCATCCACCACGACCAAGTGGGATTTATCCCCAGGATGCAAGGGTGGTTCAACATTCACAAATCAATCAATGTGATAGAACACATTAATAAGAGGAGGGAGAAGAACCATATGGTCCTCTCAATTGATGCAGAAAAAGCATTTGACAAAATACAACATCCTTTCCTGATTAAAACTCTTCAGAGTATAGGGATAGAGGGAATATTTCTCAAGTTCATAAAATCCATCTATGAGAAACCCACAGTGAATATCATCCTCAATGGGGAAAAGCTGAGAGCCTTTCCCTTAAGATCAGGAACATGTCAAGGATGCCCACTCTCGCCACTATTGTTCAACATAGTACTAGAAGTCCTAGCAACAGCAATCCAACAACAAAAAGAAATAAAGGTATTCAAATCGGTAAAGAAGAAGTCAAACTCTCTCTTTTTGCAGATGACATGATACTTTATGTGGAAAACCCAAAAGACTTCACCCCCAAATTACTAGAACTCATACAGCAATTCAGTAATGTGGCAAGATACAAAATCAATGCACGGAAGTCAGTTGCTTTCTTATACACTAACAACGCAACTGTAGAAAGAGAAATTAGAGAAACGATTCCATTTACAATACCACCAAAAACCATAAGACACCTCGGAATAAACCTAACCAAAGAGGTAAAGGATCTATACTCTAGGAACTACAGAACACTCATGAAAGAAATTGAAGAAGACACAAAAAGATGGAAAGATATTCCATGCTCACAGATTGGAAGAATAAACATTGTTAAAATATCTATGCTACCCAAAGCAATTTACACCTTCAATGCCATCCCGATCAAAATTCCAATGACATTTTTCAAAGTGCTGGAACAAACAATCCTAAAATTTGTATGGAATCAGAAAAGACCCCGAATCACCAAGGAAATGTTGAAAAAGAAAGACAAAGCTGGGGGCATCATGTTGCCCGATTTCAAGCTATATTCCAAAGCTGTGATCACCAAGACAGCATGGTACTGGCACAAAAACAGACATATAGACCAATGGAACAGAATAGAGTACCCAGATATGGAACCTCAACTCTATGGTCAAATAATTTTTGACAAAGCAGGAAAAAGCATGCAATGGAAAAAAGACAGTCTCTTCAATAAATGGTGCTGGGAAAATTGGACAGCCACATGCAGAAGAATGAAACTCGACCATTCTCTAACCCCATACACAAAGATAAACTCAAAATGGATGAAAGACCTCAATCTGAGACAGGAATCCATCAAATCCTAGAGAAGAACATAGGCAGTAACCTCTTTTACATTGCCCACAGCAACTTCTTTCAAGATACATCTCCAAAAGCTAGTGAACAAAAGCAAAAATGAACTTTTGGGACTTCATCAAGATAAAAAGCTTCTGCACAGCAAACAGTCAACAAAACAAAGAGACACCCCACAGAATGGGAGAAGATATTTGCAAATGACGCTACAGATAAAGGGCTGGTATCCAAGATCTATAAAGAACTTCTCAAACTCAACACCCAAAAAACAAATAATCAAGTCAAAAAGTGGGCAGACAATATGAAAAGACACTTCTCTGAAGAAGACATACAAATGGCTAACAGACACATGAAAAAATGTTCATCATCATTAGCCGTCAGGGAAATTCAAATCAAAACCACATTGAGATACCACCCTACCCCAGTTAGAATGGCAAAAACGGACAGGGAAAGAAACAATAAATGTTGGAGAGGTTGTGGAGAAAGGGGAACCCTCTACACTGTTGGTGGGAATGCAAGTTGGTACAGCCACTTTGGAAAACAGTGTGGAGGTTCCTCGAAAATTTAAAAATAGAGCTACCCTATGACCCAGCAATTGCACTACTGGGTATTTACCCCAAAGACACAGATGTAGTGAAAAGAAGGGCCATATGCACCCCAATGTTCATAGCAGCAATGTCTGCAATAGCCAAACTGTGGAAAGAGCCAAGATGCCCTTCAACAGATGAATGGATAAAGAAGATGTGGTCCATATATACAATGGAATATTACTCAGCCATCAGAAAGGATGAATTCCCAACTTTTACATCAACATGGAATGGACTGGAGGAGATTATGCTAAGTGAAATAAACCAAGCAGAGAAAGTCAATTATCATATGGCTTCACTTATTTGTGGAACATAAGGAATAGCATGGAGGACATTAGGAGAAGGAAGGGGAAAATGAAGGGGGCAGGGAATCGGAAGGAGAGATGAACCATGAGAGACTATGGACTCTGAGAAACAAACAGGGTTTTAGAGGGGAGGGGGGAGGGGGGATTGGTTAGCCCGGTGATGGGTATAGGAGGGCACGTACTGCATGGAGCACTGGGTGTTATACGAAAACAGTGGATCGTGGATCACCACATCAAAAACTAATGATGTATTGTATGGTGACTAACATAACATAATAAAATTAAAAAAAAAAAAAGGAGAGAGGGAAACAAACCATAAGAGACTCTTAATGATAGAGAACAAACTGAGGGTTGATGGAGAAAGGTGGGTGGGGAATGGGCTAGATGGTTAATGGGCATTAAGGAGGGCATTTGTGATGAGCACTGGGTGTCGTATGTAAGTGATGAATCACTGAATTCTAAAGCCAATGTTGCATTGTATGTTAACTAACTAGAATTTAAATATAAATAAATAAATAAATAAATAAATAAATAAATAAATAAATAAATAAGAAGAAAAAATTCTGTCAAAAACATATTGGCCATCAAAAGAGAATGGACCCTCTTAAAAACCCAGTGGTCCTTTGTGCTGCTGAGGAGTGGATGGTTTCCTCATTGTAGTGATGGCTGGGTGGGCCCTAGGTATGTCAAATTCCTTGGTATAGTAGAGTTAGAACTTGGAACTCCCAGGGAACCTGGGAGGAAAGGGGTAAGGCAGCAAGGTGAGATAAGCAGGCCACTAAATGGAGGAACAGAACCATTGGGAATTCCCAGGAGGATTGGTAAGACCTGGAGCATCTCACATGCTGCTGTTTGCTGTGCAAAGAGGATCAGGACCCCTGCCCCTGTACCCCACAAATTATTAGTGCTCAGCTACACACATAGTCAAGCACTCAAGTTTGCTGTGAGTGGAACCAAAGAGATGGGCCAAGTTTCTGGTTGAGGTTCATGCCAAGGCAGAAGCAAAGGAAGAGCTGCAAGAAGTACAAAGTAGAGAAAGACTCATCAGAACCAGAAATGAGAGCTAAAGGTGATCATGAGAATGTTATCCCACTCCCTAGAAATTCAGAGGAAGAAGGGCAAGGGGGTCCTGGATCTGGAGGGATCCCAACAGTGGAAATTTTACTGACCCTCAAGCTTCTGTATCCACTTCGTCTTCTACAATACCAACAGCCAATGAGCAGCAAAATTCCCAGGATCACCATCAGGATGCCAATCCCTGCAGCCCTGGCCCAAGAAATAGACAAATCCATCTGGGTACAGAAACCTTGTTCTAGATTGTGAAGAAACATGCATCAATCTTCAATCTTCACAGGGACTTTGCCAGCCCAAAGCCACACATCCCATTCCCCAAGTAGTTTTCCACCCCACCCTGCACCACACTGACCACACACCAGGCCTCCAGCACCTATATCCAGGGACAGGAGCTTCTTTAGGATCCTCACAGGTGTGTGCCCACACAAGTAGTGCTAACTGGCATGGCCTAAGCACCCAAGTTCTAGGCACAAGAGGTGCAGTAGCAACTGACCCATATGTGAACAATGTATTTACAGAGACTGAGTTATCTTGTCTTTTCATCAGGGCTAGTTTAAAATATTTTCCCCAACTATCAGTCCACAAAAAGGATTAATAATTAACTTTGACTTAAGATCTACTCTAAGCTGGGTGCCATGATGAACATTCTACATGAATTAGATTATTTAATTCTCACAACCCTGTAAAGTAGGCGCCACTTATCATCCCCATTTCACAGATGAGGAAATAGATTCAGATGTTAAGTGCCTTCCTGATGGGCATACAGAGGTAGCACAAGATGGAGCCAGGATTTGAACTTGAGTTAGTCTCATTTGTGTTTGTGTCCTCTTTGTCTGAAACTCGCCCCCTCACTCCTTGCCCATGACTAATATATCATGTTTAAAGACTCAGCATTACCCCTCCCAGGATGATGGCAACCCATTCTGGCTTCTCTCAGTGGTAATCGGCAGTGTGCTTACCTGTCTCTTTTAGGAAAGGAGCTTCCAAATGAGATTTTTGGTTCTGGGTTTGGTTTTTAATTTGTGTCCTCAATGCCTAGAAAAGGTCAGGCATACTGGGTGTTTCAAAAAATATTTCTTGAAGATGGATGGATGGATGAATGGACAGTTGGATGGATGGCCAAACATATTAATAAAAAATGAACAAACTGCAAAATGAATGAGCCATTTAATGTCTTCTTTAAAATAACTATTTATAAATGTGTGGATTTGGGGCATAGCCCCAACATTATTATTTTTTTCCATTTGCAGTTGGAACTGAAGATCTGAAATACCATCTTTAAAGATGCATCCTTCCTTGTCCTAACAGCTTAATTCTCTGTTACTTTCGCCTCTTGTGGGTCATTGACATTCCAGTGAAAATGAAGGGATCCACAACTTTCCACAGAGCAGGTTTTGTTTGGGGATGGAGAAAAGGTAATGAAGAGAAGGAGAGAGCATGTAAAGCATCCACCAAGGGCTTAGAGCTGGCGCATTCCGACTGAAGGAGTAGAAGTAGGGCTTGTGGGATTTAGAGGTCTCCAAGACTATAACTATTGCATGGGGATTTCATGTTGATGAAATCAATCCTCTGAGGTTGATATGATGTTCATGCCACAGCCTAGCTGTTGGGACATGTGTCTCATATTTACATTCAACTAGGCAAGCTTCTCTCCTCTCAGGCCTCTGCTTGCTCCAGGAATCCAGTTCAGGATCACCAAGGACCAAACCAGATGGGTCAGTCCTTCCTGCTTACTCTGTTATCACCTGGGTGATCTGGAAAAGATATTTCAGAATGGAGCTGGGGATAGAGCCCTGAGGATGCTGGGATAAGAGGCCTGCTCTCTCCAGCCTACTTGACTGCCAAGTCAGAGATGCCACCTGACATTTGGAGTCAGAGACTGCAGATATTCAGTAAGCACCTCCCAATTGGCCAGGCATGAACTATTAAAAGATATAGCACTGGGGCTCAGCCCTGGGGAGAACTGTCTGAGCTGAACCTAGAGCAAAGCTGTAACATCACTGAGACTGGTCTGCTCCTCAGCAGCAGGATGCAAGCTGGACATCTAAGCCAGCCTTTTGAGCCCTGTGTCCAGTGGCCCGTGGGAATGATTAGTTACCACAAAGGCCCTGGAAATAGGGCCTGAAGCTGTGCTTTCCCTGTATAACACTATCAATTAGCTAACATCTGCCTGATTTTCCACATCACAGCTTGATCAAAGTGGAGAGTGCTGTGACTTGCTAAAGAAGGGCTCTGCAGAGCTGGGTGATTTATAGGAGATTGAGAAGCAGAAAGTGAATCAAGATATAGCTGAGGTTTCTCCTGGAGAGATCTTTGCCTTATACCACCTACCTGACCACCTCCTTCTCAAGGCAGCTCAGGCATCAAGTCTATCCTGTCCATCTCTAAACGGGATGGATGAGAGTGCTGGATAAAAACTCTGATCTAATTATGCAGTTCAGTCCACCCACTTTGTGGATCATGAAGCTGAGACCTACCAAGACTCATCTACATCACCACCACCTCAGCAGCTACTCTGTAATTCATTGAGCACTGATTTGTGCCAAGCATTGTGCCAAGCACACCACATAAAGCCTTTTATTTCATCCTCACAATAATCCTCTGAGGTTGATATGATGTTCATGTCACAGCTGGTATCCCTATGACTTTAAGCTGGTAAAATATCCAAGGCTGTACAACTGGTAAGTGGCAGAACCAGCATTCACAGTGACTAGCCTAAGATACTCAACCGGTGCCTTTCCTGCTATATCATCCTTTCCTGAACTGAAGCTGTCTCAAGGAGCATTCAGTGGGCTCTTGTGACTGAAGGCAGCTGATTCAATTCCTAGAATGCTTGTGCTTCAATTTCACCCACCACGTCTGTTCATCCCCTTGGACATCTTGACACAGACAGAGCTCTGTTCCAGTTTTTTATGCACAGTCACATTGCATTCACACATGTACCCAGTGACTGATAGAGTGGAAAATATCAGGATATGGCCAGACACACCAAAAGAACCCACTACCCAGCTGAGCTGGACTCTCCAGAGTGTGACCAAATGCCTCCTGCAGCAGAGTCACCTGAGATGCATGTTAAAGTGCAGACTCTGAGCCCCACCCCCAGACCTACCAAATCAGCCTCTCTGGAAGCAAGGCCTGGGAAACTGCATTTTACAAGCTCCATGAGTGACTTATGCCCTCTTGACTGAGAGAACCCCTCAACCGCTTTTTACTGAGGTTTCACAGAGATACAGTTTGTTGAATCATCATAAAGAAGCTGAAACATCCTACCTAATATCATGTGTACCCTAAACATACCCCAAAGAGTATATTTTTGCTCCTGGGACATTTTTTCAGAAGATATACCAATCCCCATTCCCAACTGACCATTCAGGGATGTTAGAAAATCCCAGTAGGGTCTTCTGAGGAAATGCTCCCTGCCTAAATTCTTCCTCTGTGCCTTTAATGGGTTCTACATCTTGCTTGCCCCTGCTAGTTCACTCTAGTAAAGATTTTTCAATAGTTCCTTCCCAAGGGAGAGCAAGTTTGCAGGAAGTTCTGACTAGAACACTTAAGACATGGTCCAATAAAAACCTGGGTACCTCATTTGTTCCACTGGAGTCTCCACTCAGAGGGTGGAACCAGATTTAGAGCACCACACTCTTGGGTACTCTAGTACATGCAGAGTGTGTCCCAGCAACCTATCATCCCACTACAGCACTTACATTTGCTAAAATTATTCTTGAGCCTAATTCTGTACCATACTGTAAGATTTTTTTAAAGATAAGGATGGCATCTCAGACTGACTATACATTGCTTAGCACTTAAAAATGCTGAATCATATAACTACTTATTTAAAATTAATTCATACAATTAAACACCTTTCCTTAGGATAAAATTATGGTGCAGAAGTTATGACCAACATCTTCACCCTGGGGTCACTCTGCAGATGGAGTTGCACATACCTGCCCTACATTCTCACTAGCTCTTTTGGCAACTCACCTTTGTTCTGTCTGCAAACCATCTCCAGCAGCCTGAGTGGAGTAGACAGAACAAGGCTTGAGGAAAGAGTCATTTTGCTCCAGACAGATGTTTTCTAGCTGGGGAACCTTCAGCAAATGCCTAATAACCGAGAATATGGACAAAAAAAAAAAAGCCAAGATCCAACTTATTATCATTCCTATCTCCTTGCCTGTATGGCTTCAGATGATTGAGCCCCTTGTAGGACCATGGGGTCCCCTCACCACATTGCCAGGGATTTTACTTTCTGGAGAAATGAACACTAGAGAGACTTACTGACAAGCATGTGCTTGTGGAAAGCATCAGGCTGTGTCATCAAACGGCAAACTGAAAACCCCACTGGGTTCAGTTTTGAACTTACTCTTCAGCTGTGATGTAGGAGTGGTTGTGCCCCTTCTTGGGGTAACCAAGGATGAAGTGAGCCTCTTCTCTTGGCATCTTGTGGGGACAGGCCACAGGACACCTAATAGCAGGGGCACACAGGCATCATTTAACACATTCAGAACATCCTCACTCAGCATTTCATAAATAGCCACAAAGACATTCTCTCCAGGTGAACATTAATGGTAGCTGGGACCCTCTGGTTTCTCTCTGTGAAAGGATTTGTACTTGCTTTTTTCATTGATATCAAGTGGAAATTGCTCAGTTTTCTAACTGCTTCCACCAACTGAAAATTAATTTCAAAGAAGAAACTACAAACAAAAGCAAAAAACTTTGAAATTGAGTTATTATTGGGGGAGTGCTCTTCATTTGCTTTCAATTTGACTCTATACCACAAACACAGAGAAACAAAATACATTTTTTAAAGATGACATTTTATTACTATTATTATTATTATTATTATTAATATTATTTTTAGAGAGGTGGGGGAGAGGAGCAGAGGGAGAGGGAGAGTGAGAATTTTAAGCAGGCTCCATGCCCAGCATGGAGCCTAATGTGGGGCTTGATCTCACCACCCTGAGACCATAACCTGAGCTGAAATCAAGAATCAGATGCTTAAAAAACTGAGCCATCCAGGTACCCCCATAAAATGCATTTTTATTCATTCCTTACTTTCCCTGGCACAAGACTGGTTAATAAAAGGAGTTATTTCTCTCCAAAGATATTAATTTGATATCAATCTTTGGCCATATAGACAGTTAGATAACATATGAGTATGTGGCTGAGCACAGCATCCTCCAAGTCCACCTTCCAACAAAGGAAATGCCTGGGCTTGTCCATGTTCATTCACCCTACTCAAAACAAGATGAGGACTCCATAACCTGACTTTGTCTAATGATTTGTTTTCCCTCCCACTGAAATAAATTTTTGTTTCTCCCTCATTCAAGTCTCATGAATAGGGCTCATGATCAGTACCTGATCCCAAACCAAGAGAAGCAGTCTTTCAAGTGACAGGAGAATACACAAGCAGAATCACAAGCAGGATGCAGCCTGAATAACTGCTTTTCCTTGTTCTCTGCTTTTCTTCTTGGCAGTCGAGGAACAGGATTTAGGAGGAGACTTCATGAGCCCTCAGCAGCTGGACACTTACAGTGAGGAGAAATTTTGCTGACAGCCAAGCATCGGGGAAGCAATGAGGGAGGGCAGAGGAGCCCACCAGAATCCCCCAAAACCTGTTTTCTTGGACAACAACAATGGGCGAGAAGGCCATGCTCTTACCTTTCTGGATGGGACTGTTCTGTCTGCTGGCTGGCCCTGTGTGTGAAGATTGCTTCTCTGGCTCTTAATCTTTTAAATTGCTTTTCCTTGTCTCCAGTCCCATGTTAGTCATGAGTTTGGATTTCTGACAGGGTCATCTGTGATTACTTAATTGGCATGAAAGAAACCACCTTCATTCCTCTCCTCAAAAAGTCATTGTTCATTGTGGCCTCTGTTTTCCCCAATCTCAGGATTTCCTCCCTAGGAAGGCATTTATTTTAAATATTGGTCCCTCCTCCATAGGGTAGCCAGATAAAATATAGCAAGCCCAGTTACTTTTTTTTAATTTTTTTTTTAAGATTTTATTTATTTGCGAGAGAGAGAACGAGAGTTAGAGAGCATGAGAGGGAGGAGGGTCAGAGGGAGAAGCAGACTCCCTGCTGAGCAGGGAGCCCGATGTGGGACTCGATCCCAGGACTCCAGGATCATGACCTGAGCCGAAGGCAGTTGCTTAACCAACTGAGCCACCCAGGCACCCCAAGCCCAGTTATTTTTGATTTCAGATAAACAATGAATACTTTTTAGTAAAACTACATCCCCTGCAATATATTTTAGTATAATTATGTCCAGCTTACTAGATGGGACATATTTTTATTAAAAAAATTATTTGTGAGATGGCTGGGTGGCTCAGTCAGTTAAGCATCTACTTTCAGCTTAGGTCATGATCTCAGAACTCTGAGATCAAGTCCTGTGTTGGGCTTCCTGCTCAGCAGGAAGTCTGCTTCTCCCTCTCTTTATGCCCCTCCCCACCCCCTGCTCATGCTCTCTCTTGCTCTCAAATAAATAAAATTCTTTTTAAAAAAACAATTTGTTTTTTATCTGAAATTCAAATGTAACTGGGCACCCTATATATACCCTCCCTCATCCCCACCTCAAAGAGTTAAAGAGCCTTTAGTCTCAGATCTGGAGACCATCTAGTCCCACCCTCTCCTGATCAAAAAGAGGAAATAGAGGATCCCTAAAGCCTCCTAAAAACTTCCTAATGTTAGGATTGATTTGGACAGTTAGGTAGTCAGGGCCAGGGTCCCCAAGAAGAAAATATGGAGTCAGGACAGCTAAAATAAAATAGCGCTGACAGCCTGTTTTGCAGCTTACGACCACACTGCCATTTTGCTTTGCAACCTTCACAGAAATGACTTCTGCAAAACATCCTAAAATAAGACAACCACAAAAACATTTGTCAATATCACGGGCAAAGGGCAGTTAAGACCTAAGCCCCCAGATGCCAGGGGGGGGAAAAAAAGAAGATCATCATCACGCGGAGATTCACCTAATAGTTGACAGATACATGACCAAAGCTCTGATTGGCATTATTCTGCACACCCTGATTGCTTAAGAAAGTTCTGCAAAAGAGCTCATAATAACCCCTAAACTTAGAAACTCCAGGGGCAACCCACTCAGGTCCCCCTCCCTCTCTGGAAGCTTTATTCTCTTGCTCAATATACTTTGCTTTGCTGCCCACCACTCTTAGTCTGGTCTACCAGACTTCGAAGCAGCGTGACCAAGAACCACAGGTGCTAAGGGGACACAAAATCCTGTAACACTAAGCTCCCTGATTTCTCTGTCACATTATTCAGAAATAACTGTCCCCTGGGGAGAGTGGGTTTTGTGCATTTGGAAGAGGCAGACAAAATCTTCTCTTTGAAGGTAGATATGACCTACCTAAATTCTAACTGAAACCTGGGCTGATTTGACCTGACAAAATAATCTACCCTGAGAGTCAACTGTGTATATAGCCCAGAAGCATTTCTGTGGGCCAGAACAGTGCTCCCCAGCTCTCTGTAACTGTTATGGACAAACAAACAAAACAAAACGTGACCAGAATAAAGGAATGTGACAGTTCTCATCAGCTGAGGACTTAGATTAAATAACTACTCATAGTTTTTGGTATGATTGTAAATGGGATTGATTCCTTAATTTCTCTTTCTTCTGTCTTATTGTTAGTGTATAGAAATGCAACTGATATCTGTGCATTGACTTTATATCCTGCCACGTTGCTGAATTCCTGTACGAATTCTAGCAATTCTGGGGTGGAGTCTTTGGGTGTTCCACATAAAGTATCATGTCATCTGAGAAGATTGAGAGTTTGACTTCTTTGTCAATTTGAATGACGTGGCATTCAAGTCATTGAATTGACTTGCTATGTTGACCAACAGTGGTGAGAGTGGACATCCCTGTCATGTTCCTGGCCTTAGAGGAAAATTCTCAATTTTTCTCCATTGAGAATGTTATTTGCTGTGGGCTTTCCACATATGGCTTCTATGATATTGAGATATGTTCCCTCTATCCCTACACTGTGGAGAGTTTTAATCAAAAAAAAGATGCTGTATTTTGTCAAATGCTTTTTCTGCATCTATGGAGAATATCATATGGTTCTTGTCCTTTCTTTTGTTAATGTGATGTATCACATTTATTGATTTGTTTCAACCACAAATCATGTTGATTTGTTGAACCACCCTTGCAGCCCAGGAATAAATCCCACTTGGTTGTGGTGAATAATCCTTTTAATGTACTGTTGGATCCTATTGGCTAGTGTCTTGGTGAGAATTTTTGCATCCATGTTCATCAGGGATATTGGTCTGTGGTTCTCCTTTTTGATGGGGTCTTTGTCTGGTTTTGGAATCAAGGTAATGGTGGCCTCATAGAATGAGTTTGGAGGTCTTCCTTCCATTCTATTTTTTGAAACAACTTCAGAAGAATAGGTATTAATTCTTCTTTAAATGATTGGTAGAATTCCCCTGAGAAGCCATCTGGGCCTGGACTCTTGTTTGTTGAGATTTTTTATTACTGCTTCAATTTCCTTGCTGGTTATGGGTCTGTTCAGGTTTTCTATTTCTTCCTGTTTCAGTTTGCACCCATTTCTTCCAGATTGCCTAATTTGTTGGCATATAGTTGCTCATAATATGTTCTTAAAATTGTTTGTATTTCCCTGGTGTTGCACATGATCTCTCCTATTTCATTCATGATTTTATTAAATTGGGTACTTTCTCTTTTCTTTTTGTTAAGTCTGGCTAGGGTTTTATCAATCTTACTGATTCTTTCAAAGAATCAGCTCCTAGTTTCATTGATCTTTTCTACTGTTCTCTTGGTTTCTATTTCATTGATTTCTGCTCTAGTCTTTATTATCTCTTGTTTCCTGCTTGGTTTAGGCTTTCTCCAGCTCCTCCAGGTATAAGGTTAGTTTGTGTATTTGGGACCTTTCTTGGTTCTTGAGAAAGGCTAGTATTGCCGTATACTTCCCTCTTAGGACTGCCTTTGCTGCATCCCAAAGGTTTTGAACACTGGTGCTTTCATTTTCATTTCCATTAATTTTTTAAAAATTTTTCTTTAATTTCCTGGTTGACCAATTCATTCTTTAATAGGATGCTCTTTAACCTCCATGTATTTGTGTTCCTTCCTAATTTCCTCTTGTCATTGAGTTCAAGTTTCAAAGCATTGTGGTCTGGAATTGAACATTGGAATAATTCCAATCTTTTGGTACCAGTTGAAACCTGATTTGTGATCCAGTATATAGACCCACTATGTGATCTATTCTGGAGAATGTTCCATGTGCACTTGAGAAGAATGTGCAGTCTGTTGCTTTAAAATGAATGCTCTGAATATATGTGTGAAGTCCATCTGGTCCAGTGTGTCATTCAAAGTCCTCATTTCCTTGTTGATCTTCTGCTTAGATGATCTGTCCATTGAAGTGAGTGGGGTGTTAAAGTCCCCAACTATTATTATATTATTACCAATATGTTTCTTTAATTGTATTATTAATTGGTTTATATAATTGGCTGCTCCCCTGTTAGGGACATAAGTATTTACAATTGTTAGATCTTCTTGTTGGAGAGACCCTTTATGATATAGTGTCCTTCCTCATCTCTTATTACAGTCTCTTGTTTAAAATCTAATTTTAAGGATAGCTACCTCAGCTTTCTTTTGATGTCCATTAGCATGATAAATGGTTCTCCACCCCCTCACTTTCAATCTGGAGCTGTCTTCGGATATAAAATGAGTCTCTTGCAGACAGCATATTGATGGGTCTTGCTTTTTTATCCAATCTGATACCCTGTCTTTTGTTTGGAATATTTACCCATTTACATTCAGAGTAACTATTAAAGATATGAATTTAGTGCCATTGTATTACCTGTGTTGTCACTGTTTCTGTATATTGTCTCTGTTCCCTACAGGTCTATTTCACTTTGGGGCTTTCTCTTCACTTAAAGGATCCCCTTTAATATTTCTTGCAGGGTTGGTTTAGTGATCACAAATTCTTTTTGTTTCTGTTTATCTTGGAAGCTTTTTATCTCTCCTTCTATTTTGAATGACAGCCTTACTGGATGAATTTTTCTTGGCTGCATATTTTCCTCATTTAGCACCCTGAATATATCCTGCCAGTCCTTTCTGCCCTGTCAGATCTCTGTGGATAGATCTGGGGCCAGCTTTATGTGCCTACCCTTTTAGGTTATGGACCTCTTGTCCTGAACTGCTTTCAGGATTTTCTCTTTGACTCTGTGAGATTCGCAAGTTTTGCTATTATATGATGGGGTGTTGACCTATATTATTGATTTTGAGGGGGTTTCTCTGTGCCTTCTGGACTTGAATGCCTGTTTCCTTCCCCAGATTAGGGAAGTTCTCCACTATAATTTGCTCCAATATTCCTTCTGTCCCTCTCTCTCTTTGCTCTTCTGAGATCCCAGTTATTCTAATATTGTGTGGCTCTATGGTATCACTTATCTCTCAAATTCTCCCCTCTTGATCCAGTAGTTGTTTATCTCAGCTTCTTTATTCTCCATCATTTTGTCTTCTATATCACTAATTCTCTCTTCTGCCTCATTTATCCTAGCAGTTAGTCTCCATTTTTATTTCTATGTCATTAATAGCCTTTTTTTTTATTTCAACTTGATTAGATTTTAGTTGTTTTATTTCTCCAGAAAGGGATTCTGTAGTGTCTTCTACGCTTTTTTCAAGCCCAGCTATTATCTTTATAATTGTTATTCTGAACTCTAGTTCTG